CTACAAACAGATCCACATCTGCTGGTTTTATTGCCCAGGGTGAAAAACAGTCACCACAGCTCATTTTTTGGCTGCTTTGCAGCAACATTTGCCCCTCTCTGTCATGCTCTGAGGGCTCAAGCTAACAGCATCTCTCTCCCAGACATACATCTTCCCTGGAGAAACACCTGCAGCCCCAAGCCCAGCCCACCTGGGCACTGCAGCTCTCTGCAGCTTCCCTAAACCTAGCCTAAGCTGCCAGCCACCCCCTTCCACCTTCACAACTCACACCAAACAGCTCCAACCTGCCCCATGCCACGCAGCACTCCCCATACCCCAGCAGCAGTCCTCATTCCCCAGCCACAGGTGAACGAAAGTAGCTCCAGCTACACTGGCATCCCACAACCCAAACCAACCTCATCATGCCAGTACAGGTCCAGAGAACAGACCTCCTCCTCCCCAGCACCCTTCTCTGTGTCTACTCTCTGCTTCTCTTTGTTTCTCTTCCCCACACCTGACCAAACCTTTTCTTCAAAGAAGTTTCTTCTCTGCCCAGCTGGCAAAACAGGTGCCCAAACCAGGCCCAGGCTGTGCATGCTGCCCAGCCCTCCCCTCACACCTACCCATTGGTTTCACCCCGCCCCCAAAACACACACTATCCCCACATTTTCAGAAATCAGCTGCTCTCCACTGAAACACCCTGGCACACACAAAAATCTATCTGGCAAAAGCTCCTTCCAGAGCTTGCGGGACCTGCCCTGCTTCCCCAACAGCCCCCTACCCCCCTCCCTCTCTCCACGACACCCCCGACCCCCTGCACACGCTGCAACACTCTTCAAATCCACACACCCTGCACATCCTCCCCGCGTGCTCACGGCAAACAGTATCGTGGATGCCAAAGTTTACATTGTTAAAAGGTATAATTAGATCAATTCATGGACGAAAAACCTTTCATGAGCTGTCAGATGTCAAGACACCTATCTCTGCCTCAGGAAACCCCTGAACTACATCCCACTGAAGCTTGAACAGAGTACCAGGGAACTATCACTACAAGCTGTCAGCTGGGTTGCAGCCAGCACTGAGGTCAGACCACTGAGGAAGGGCTGTAAGGCTTCTGCTCATGTTCTGCCATGAATCTGCTGCAACAGTCAAACCCAAACTGTCAGATTGCAAGATTCCCTACTACAGGTAAATATTATGTCAGGGCAAAGGGAAATCTGGGACCTTGTCACCACTGGACAAGCTGGAATTTGCAATGGCAACATCTTAGTGGGAATGGTGAGGGTTTTTTGCTGCCTCTGGTAAGGCACAGCTCTCCCACCTTTGACTATTTGTTTTATTGTTCTGTGCATCTCTCCACAGACTTTTTTCCATAGGACTGTGCTGACAGGAGCAAAACTGCATTCATTTAGCTTGCACTTCCCAAGGGAAAGCATGTCCTACACAAAATCATTTTCAGCAGCTTTCTGTGTGAAGGAGAGATAAGATGGCTCCCCTGAGAATGCGTGCGTGTGTCCCCTCAGTAGCTGCCTTCCCTCCTGCTGAGCACAACTTGATGGAATTGCACACACAACCCCAAAGATTGTTTTTAGTCCACCCACACACTGCCAGGAGCTTTTTCAGACTTCTAACATGCTGTTTCCAGGGCGACCATTGATCTCAGATTTCAAACATTACCAGAGCTGTGTATCCTCTTGCTATTCTCTCCTCCTGCAAGCCCAATTTTGCTGTAAGGAGCAAAATACTACTCCATACTACTCACACCAGTGGGGCTCTAAGGAGCCCATTACCGAATGCCTGGGGGTTCCTCTTGATCTTCTATCTTCAACATTGTGTATGCACCAGGGAGCTATAAAACACTACCAATCCAATGTGCCTTGAGGTAACTGAGTCCTCGATGTTTAATTTCTTCTCATCCTCAAGAAACCTTACAAATAAAGGATTAGGTGTCATTCAAGGTTATCTAGGTGTTGTGGGGAGGGAGGGTCCTTCCTGTATAAGGAGATGTATACTGTTATTAAACCTCTTTCTGCTGCTTCTCACACTATTATTGTTCAGGAAAGCTGAAGAGACTGTAAAGAACAGCCTGCAAGAGAAAAGACAAATTGATTTCATATGTGTTTGAAAGACAAGAGGCAGGGACCCGGCAAGGTTTCTAGGGGCTCCAGAGGAAAAGGAGCAAGCAGAACAAAAAGATGCAGTCATACCACATGCAGAGATGTCCATACATGCCTTGCTGCCTCTCTGAGTGGGAGTCCCACAGCCCAGGCACAGTATTTCCAGGAAAAGCAAGCCCATGTTAAACCAGTGTTTTGACCTCCTGCTGAGCAACACCAGTGGCTGCACAGCCTCCAGCTCCCCACCCAGAATGGGGCAGGATCAGCTGTTTGAGCCATTTTGCCTGGAAAACAGGGGCAAAATCCAGTCCCATATGGCATTCTTTTTTGAGATAAATAAACACAAATCCCCACAGCTTAGCTAGCCCTAAAAGTCAGAGTCCTCAAAAGATCTGCCTCAGCCACACAGTTAAGGACAAAAACTCAAGAAGTCACACTCATGCAAAATACCTTGCTGAATCCAATCCTAAACACCCCAGAGAGAAGAGACAAGAAGCAGCCTTCTTCATGATTCTCTTTTGAACTAGCTGCATTATTTCTGGGCTGTACATTAAAACAGATGTCTCATTGATTTCCCAGTCACAAAGAAATCATTCTTTTCATGTCTTGTGACAGATGTTTCTTCAGATGAACTGCTCCGACTTCACACAGGATCTTTACCTCACGGAATAACTTTTCCCAAACTGATTTAAAAATATGTATTAGCAAAGCCAAGCCAGCCACTTCAAGTTTCTTAAGCAAAGAGCGAGTAGAAATGGTCTCTTTTCAAAACTATGCAAAAACATCATTGGCATTTTTGTCCCATACAGACCCTCATCACTATGGAACATAACAGGTGCCTAATTAAGGAGCATTATTTATCTTCTTTTTTTTTTTTTTTTTAAAATCTCATTATCAGCTCTGGATGAGTAAGCCCCAGACACATCTATATTTCATTTCAATCACCTCTCCTTCATTAAGAAGGGGATATTTAGTGCACTTTCTCAAATGACTTTTGTAGTGTTTGCTTATTTTGGAATCTCTGGAAAAACTTTAAATGAGGTGGAGGGGGGAAGGATCATGGGTAGAAATAGAGAAGCATAAAAATAACATTTTCTACTTTGAAAGCAGAATGCCCTAAGCTGAGGTAAAGGAAAACTGGGAAAATAACTTCATGATTTACTAAAGTGCAAGAAGGGAAGTCTGTTATATACTACTTTGGCTTGAGATTTAGAGAGGGACACAATGCTAGAAAGACTACCTTAGTCTTTTGCTCTTAATCCTTTGCCACAGAAATCCTTTGTCCCACTTGAACTCATTATAAAAGGGGAATAAACTTCTTCCATGTGCTACTTAGTTAAACAGAGTCTGGGGTGGGGGGAAGAGCTTGATTGCAACTTTAACATGGCTCTTGATTTAGCCAGAATTTGTAGTGTCGTTCCCTCTAGGAGATATTTTATTTTGGTTTGGTTTGGGGTTTTTTATATTTTATTTTATTCTGGGGC